CTGAGCTTCCGGGAACCAGAGTGGAGCCGAGGTGTTTACGCATGCAAATTTCTGGTCGTTACGGAGGGTAGTTCACAAAAAATGGAAATTCTGAATCCGGAAGTCGGGTAACAACCTAGAGATGTGTAAAATATTTGACGTTCCCTTCCAATTTTTCTATCTATTTGTAAAAGTGACTGAAATCATGCCGACAACTGCCCTTGTTGCAGTCGTTAAAGTGCATTTTAGGCGTTACCCTCTAAACTTATTTCGATAGCCAGGACCAGACCGATAAAAACCGGACGGCATTCGGCATGCATGTCGACTTTGCGCCGAACAAGACTTGCGTAGAAAGAAGCGGAATGGCCTAAGAAAGTCCGCTGGCGAGTCGTAAAAATTACCACTAGTTCACGTAGAAGATACGGCAACCGGATTTGGAAATTGTGAAAAATTTAAGAGAGTTGAATTTAAAGGGCACGTTCAGGGACGTTTTTTTGGAAAAAAGTAAAGATTTTCGCCGCGGCCGGGGGTCGAACCCGGTCATCCCGATCGGGAGACGCGGCCGAATACCAGTCAGCCACAGATGAACCTGGCGAGGGGCCGAGGGGCGCTCCACGCCGCAAAGGAGGGGAATTGCCTGTCACAGCACGGGCAGGCAGTGCGCGCGGTTCCCTAGTCCATAGGGTGTATACGTTGGGACGAGTATACGGCCCCTCCCTGAACGTGCGCTTTAAGAAAACTAATATCAAGAACCGTACATCACATCACATTCTGTCAGCTCAAAAAAGATTAAAAAAATTCCAAGGTTATGGATTCCCAACATCTTCAAACTGACACCTCGATCTCCAGGGCTTCGACGATCGCGATCCAATTTTTTGAAGCTGTCCTTACTTCCATATTTTTCGCACAGTTTTGTCTACCTTTCACAACGTTTAGACCGTGCTGGCTCCTTTTGTACTTGATACAGCTCAAGAAAATCGTAGACCACTCCAGCTCCCATAAATTTTCTAAAACTTTGGCCCAAGTTAAGGCAGACATGACAATCCCGGCCGGCCCAGCCGCACGGCCGAGCCACCGGCCTAATTTCTATAAAAGCCCGGCCCCCTACGAGCCGCGTTAATGACTTACTTCCGAAAATCCGGCTTCCCGGCCGAGCCGGCTTTTTGTTGCGGCACGGCCAAGCCGGTCCGGCCGAGCCGGGAAACCGAAAGTTGTTCATTTACGTGAAAATCCGTGACTCCTATGCAAAAATGTGAATGGAAATTACAAAGTTTCTATGGTGGAATAGTTTTCCCTCGCCATAAAGCCAATTATTGATTGAATCCGGAATTTGCGTACCGGAAACGCGAAAATCTCATTTGGGTCCGGCTTTCCGGCTTTCCAAAAGCCCGAGGCTTGGCCGGGGCTCCGGCCTCAAAACATAAAAAAGCCGGGGCCGGACCTGAAGCTCCGGCCAAGCCGCGCGGCCCGGCCGCATTCTAATTTTTCCGGCCGAAAAAAGCCGGCGGCCCGGCCGTTTGCCATGTCTGAGTTAAGGTGATGTCCACGCCAGAGCATGTTTTCGACACTTTTGCCCGAGCTGCCCAGATGACTAGCCCCTTTTTAGATCTAATTTAGCAAAAAGCCAGAGTCGCCCATTGACAGCTCATAACTCATTCGACTTCCCTATTCGGTGCCCCTCAACCCAATTGCTTTTCTGCTGTTTTGGGAATTACACAACAGAATATTCCACCTATCTCGAGCGATATACCCATTTAATAATATCCCTCCCCCCTCCCCTAGAGGCCGATTTCCGATTGGCTCGCCCTCACTATTTGCTCTACTCGCCGTGCCATCTTCAAAATATTTTCACGCCCTGGTTAGCAAAGGCTCTAGGGTGCCTGAAAACTGGGTTTTTTGCAAAATCTAGTGTAGTTTAAAGATACTGCAATCAGTAAATTATTTTCGCTCATTATTTGAATGTCAAGAAGCCAACATTTTATTTAGCACCAGTTTCACGTTCTCTTAAAGGGCGTCTGGCAGCAAGCCCCTTTTTCCACGACTCGTGGAAACGTCGCGGTCGGGTGCGTCACGGCAGGGAGAGAAAGAGCGCGCCCAGAGGAGAGACGCAGACAGAACTCTGCGTCTCTGCCCGGTCCCCAAAATGCCGTAATCGGTGTGCTGCCAGAGCCGCTTTAAAGACCGCCAGAACGATGAAATTCCGTTTAGAGCAAGAAGGTTGCGCACCGGGCGGGGGTCGAACCCGCGATGGTTCGCTCCATAGCCCGACGCGCTAGCCACTATTCCACAGGGCCAAGTAGGGAAGGGAGTTAGTGGCGCCCCAAACCCCAGAGGGCCTTTGCCCAATACGGGGCAATACTAACGACGCATCTCTCAGCGCGTTCTTGGGGGCCCCACCCTTGGGGTGACAGTGTGCGTTCCAGAGTTCTAGCAGTCTTTAAGCCCAAAAGTTTGAATCAATAAATTGGAAAAGCACTCAAAGGTACAGATGCACCTATATTTAATTTATTCCGATACCGTATCCTGATATTAAAGGGGTTACGAAGGCACAATTGCGAACGTCAAGTCCTGATCTCTTTAAAGCACTCAATTAGCCTCGAATTTTCCGCAATTGTTCACGGCTAGCTGCCACGCAAAAAAGCAGATCTGTCAATCTTAACCAATTTTTCAACTTTTTGAAGAAAATCGACAAAAACAATAAATAGTGTGGCCTAAAAGCTGGAATACACACACTACTGTATGCCCGTGACTGCTGATTAATTTTACTCTTGTCTTTCTCTCTCTCTCTCTCTCTCTCTCTCTCTCTCTCGCTCGCTCGCTCTCTCTTTTGCTCTCTCGTCTCTCTCTCTCGCCAAGCTTAAATTAAATTTTCCGTTTGTTCTGTGGAATTTTTTTGTCCATTAAGATTTTTTCAGCAGGCCAAAAACCATATAGAACCTAAACGTCAGTTTTTTGATACCGGCATCTCAGGTATCCTTTAGTTAATGTGATATTCTCGTTTTTCATAGTAGGCGAAATCAGTATGTTTTTGAAGGCGAAAGATTGAGACGGAACTAAACTGCATTTTTTGGGACAGGCTAGCAGGACTTTTCCGGGAAAGGTTTCCTACAAAAATTCCAAGAACGTTGAGTACAAGTTGGGAGATAGTCAGATTGTACTTCTTTTTCGCGATATTACGGTTTGATTGGCTCACTCTCTCACTCTCTCTTTCTCCCTCTCTCTCCCTACATCTCTCTCTCATCTTTCTTTAGCTAATTTCGTCTGGCCTTTGAGCTCATCTTCCACTAGAAGTACAGAATCCCCCTATTTCCCCAAGGAATCGACATAATGCATCGTCTAGAATATATTCAGATGTGCGTTAATTTGCGCCTGGGAAATTCGGGGCTCCTCTCCTCGATTCGAGGAATAAGGGAATCCTAGCGGGCTAAATGCGTTCCCGCTATGCGAGACAACATTTACGCGACCTCGCACTTCCTCTGTTTTCCAGCAGGAGCACGAGGTCTTTCTGGAATTTTTGATATGAGATAGCTTCGCTCACTTTTTAATGTTAGAAATCGGGCAAGTAGGCTGCGGCAGACATATAAAAGCCGAAAGGAGGCAAACTAATCCCGTGTCGCGCAAAATTCTTGCAAAAAATAACGTCTAATTCCATTAAAAAACCTTTATTTTGCGGGTTTTTGCCTTAATTCCTTTACTGTTAATTTTTACGAGTTTGCAATGTGGTCTTTCCATTCTAATTCTTGCGGCTAAAATTTTTTCAAAAACGTTGGTTTTCAGAAAATGGAGGGCTACTTTGCATACGGGACGCTGGCCGATAATCCGAAATACAGTTGTGTGTAGGTTTTCCTAGTCAATATATTTCCTTATTATTCTATCGATGTGTAAAAATGTGACAATTGTTATATATTATATCCTAGTAATCCTAGAATTTTTAACATTTTACATCCGTTAAATGAATGATAATAAAACCGATGAATCAAAAATCATGCGATTTTTGTAATTTATCTAAGAAACAACAAAAAGCTTTGATAAAAATACCAGTTAATGCAAATGCTTAATAATAGATGTAAAACACATCGCCAGTTACTATTATCTGAAACGGAACAATGGAGCCGCTTCAAAAAAAGTTATAAAAGCCGGAAACCGATGCTGAACTTTTGAGGGCAAAATAAGCCAGAAGCCTCCTCTAACTACCCGTAGTTTCGGGCTCATCTCGGCTCGCTATTTTGAAAATGACCCCCTCTTCCCATCCCTTTCCACAGTTTTCGACTCCCATTGCAGCAACGCGACGCTGAGCCAGGCGGAAATGGCGGCCCGTAATGAGAAGAGCCCCATTTTGGGTGCACTTTACATCGCCTATGGGCTGCTCGTACAGGTTGGCCACCGAGAGAAGGGAGGGGATAACCTGATAATGTGGTGAAAATGGAATTCTACAAATGACCTTGCTTGTGAAAACACAGGACCAAAGGTACATGAAATTCGCTTAAAATGTATTGAATTTTACGCTCTCTCCCTCTCTCCCTCTCTCTTTCTCTCTCTGCCTCTCTCTATCTCTCTCTTTCGCTCTCTCTCTCTCTCTCTCTCTCTCTCTCCCTTTCTCTCACTCCCTTTCTCTCTCTCTCTCTTTCGCGCTCTCTCTCGCTGCCTTTCTCTCACTCTCTTTCTCTCTCTCTCTCTCTCTCTCTCTCCTTCTCTCTCTCTCTCCCTTTATCTAAATCTCACTCTCACTCTCACTTTCTCTCATCTGCTTTTCTATCGCCTTTTTGGGATTTAGGAACCTAAGAATACAAACTACACACCCATATTTTTACGGGTATTGCAAATCTGTACATCTCACGGGAGCAGCCAGCCAAAAACGAACCCCCTTTCTTGGCTAGGTTTCGACATCCCCTTGTGCTTGAAAGCGCGCCTAATATACCGCAGGAATGTGAATTTGAAACCAAATTTCAAAAACATTTGCAAGCCTATTTCGTCGGGTCGGGTCAAGTACTTGTCCATACCTAATCGAAAAAGGCGTCGATTCTCCACCTTCCTAGCCCCTTTAGTTCTCCGGATGTATCAATGTCACCGCTTTTAGACCTGCTACGCCCTGACCCTCTCCGTGATCGCGACCCGAGAATTCCGACAGATCTCGTGCTACAAATTTATGCTGTCTTTGGGTCCTTAAGACCGGTTTTTCAGAAATATCTTGTTGTGCTTCAGGAATCATGGACACGCTTTGCATCGTATTAAGCTGTGACCTCGCTGGTTACCTCTATATGATTGGTACGGAGTATTGTATGCTACCCCGGTTTTTGTATGTTACGGGAAGCATTTGTAATGGTGAGTTGACGGAAGTTTGGACGAAGCTCGTC